TGTTTTAGTCTGATTTTTGCTATTAACATGAATATTTTTCATTGTGAATATTTTTATAGTACATCTTTTTAATAGCTGTGTAGGAATAAACATCAGGAATTGTGAGAGAATTAAGCCCTAGTGCCCTCCACCATCCATGTTATGTGATGAGTCAAATCTCCCATCCTCAGGAGAATTGGAGAAATAGTTACTCAGGTAGTTTGTTGTCTTCTGTGGTTCAATGAGGAACTCCAGGAGAGGAAGCCCATATAACCCCAAGAGTATTGCAGCCCCCGCCCACCCCCCCGCACCACCACCTTATACACCAGATGGGGAAAGGGAGACATTTGAGCCAGTGGTGTGGAGGATAGAGAGCTTACCAAGTGCCCTTGAGACCCAAACCATCTTCAGCACCCATTTCTCCCTGGGGGTGAGGGTGATGGGTACTTGGGTTGGCACCGATCTCTTCTGTTGTCGTCAGTATAGGGGCATATTCAGGAGGTCTTCACAGTGGTAGTGCCAGTGTCTGCACAGCACATAATCCCAGCCAAGCTCTGTGCTACTGGCTTCACTTAATTCTCATAGTGGCTCTGTGAGGGTATGTCCTCTTGTACCACCTGGATTAGTCATTGGAAGCTGAGGGTCACATGGCTGCATAGTCTAGCTCACTTTGCAATTTGATGTCCATAAGATTATCTTTTTTGGTCTCCTTACCAGAAACTTCCTTGCTGGTTGGATTTACACTTCTCTTTCCACTCTTTAAGGTTTAGCACAAATCAGTGTTTTGGATAAATGCTGAGAACATTGAAATATTCAATTCAGTATGAAGATTACCTTGCTCTGTAAGGATTTGGGGATTTCCACACTGAGCAAGAGATCAAACAGACTGATTTTTCTTGTGATTGGTTTGTTAATTAACTGGGTCACGTTGCATTTAGTGCCATGGCATCTTTTACTAGTGGGGACTTGGTTGCATGGTCATCATGGGGTTCCATGTAGAGACCACTTGTTTGCTTTCACATGCCTTCAAGCATCCATAGATAGACAGGCTTGCTTAACTAAGTATATAGTTTTAGCCATCTTAAATGTTGATGACATTACCAGATGGCAAGGTGTATCATTTGAAATCATGTAATACGCTGCCCCAATGGCTTTAACAGATAATGGTGTTTTCTTCTCTTGAGCCGAGACACTAGAGGGCAGATGCGTGTTTGGTGTGCCATGGGGGTCACCTTCCCCCTCTTTCAGCCCTTCCTTCGTCCTTTGCAGCTTCTCACAGGTGCTAATGGGCATTGTTTCCCCCGGGTTCCAGGACCTTGAGTGTATGGAAGACTTTTAAGGGGGAGGCAGTCATGGATAGTTTTAAAGGAATCAGCCTTCAGATTATCATTTTCCATATGTAATCGTACCCAAAATTGAATTGCCTGAGAAAGTAAAGTGCATTTGAGCCCAAGAGATCTGCTGGCTCTGCTATTCACGTTTCCTTTTACAACTGCTCTTCTGCTTTCCAAAACATTAGCGGTATCCCTCAACCAGGCATTTATCAGGGTGCATCATATGATAATAAACAATATCTTTCCAGAACACCAAACCCAAGACACTTTAGGGACGTGTCTGTCTTGTATAGATTAGTACAGGCATCAAAACTGCCATGAGGCACTATTGCCAGCTTGCTCTTTTTCATGCAGAGGTTTTTTTCAGAGGTGAATGCTGCGATGTTCTGAACTGAGATATGTTGTGTAGAGGGTCGTGGTGAGGGTGAGCAGTTTTCATTGAAGTTCTCACCATTCCCAACTGTCAGAATGAACTGCTTTTAAAGGAGAGAGTTTCATGAAAGCAACAGTGTTCGTGTGTGTGCATGTGTGTGTGCATGTGTGTGTGCGCATGCGTGCACGAGCAGTTCTTTTAAGCTATTCACATTTCATCCCTAGGACGAGTTATTAACTGGAAAGAAAAATAACCTTTGGTGCTAAGCAGTTCCGGTTAGTGGCACTGGTTCTTTTAAATATAGCTATGGTATCTGCAGGATTACCAGATTTTCAGATACTAGATTGAAGCTACAGACTGAAAAGAGAATTTCTGTGATTTCTTTTAGTTTAAGTGTGTTAATAAAGTAGTTAAAACCAGTTAGCTTATGATATGTCATAAAAAGTCTAGTTCTAGTTGATCTTATTTCCCATTGTAAAATTAATGCTTCTATATACAGTCATATTCTAGTTACTGACTAGTCTTTTAGCAGTGTACACTCTTGTCCTAAGTGTAAAGGAAACGTGTGATCGTGATGTCTAGCAAAATTAGTGGAATTTGTGATTTTGTACACATGGTTTTTAATTTCCTCATACTTGAATAAAGCATACATGCTAGCACATATTTAGTGAAGGAATACAAGGCTTTGATCATATCTCTTCCTAGATAACTTAGACTGCGGCCTAAAGAGTTGGCATTGAATTATTACAAAATAAGTAATGAGAAATGGCTCCAATTTAGCTTGTTTTTATGTTATAAAACTAGACAATAAATATTAGATACGTATCATTTAAATCTTGCCTGCTTTTAAAAGTAACTTAAAAAGATACATTATTGATACCTTCCTTTAATTCATTCCATAGCGGCTTTCATAATGTTCCTTAAAACATTTCAGAATGTTTATTTGAATTAAAAAATTAAGTCAGATCTTTTATCAGAAATAAGCATACTGTGGCTGACCATTCTGACAGTAAAGACTGACCAAGTTGCTTGGGCTTCTTGGCACACCATTCCCTTAAATTGAATGAGCTGAATCTGCTGCCACAAAGTTGTAATGAAATTATATTTAAAGCACATGAGCATTTTATTTTTAAAAATAGTTTTTCATTGGTGGAAATATATGCTGATCATGTCTGAGTCTAGCAATCAGTAATACACACAGACACATGAATCGCCTGGAAAACAAGCAGTTGTACTCTTCTTGATGCTTTTACTATTTATATCTGTCAATTATCTATCATAGTTTTAATGTTTTATAATTTGGATTGGGTTTGCTTTACTAATAATTTCAGTGGTAACTCAGTTTTTCAGATGAATTTTAACTCCTAGAAATTATGTTTAAATAAATTTTAAAAATAAATAAAATTTCAATTTATGTACATATTTTTATTGCAGGAAAATATGCTAGGGTGATAAAAGACTTCAAAGCATAACATTTAGTACAATTTCAGAGGTGAGTGGAATAGCCCACACATTCCAGAAGAATAGGAAGTGACATCGAATTTCTGTTACAGAAGAATGAGTGGATTTCTTGTCCTAGCACCTCATCTTGCTTCCTCACCCTAGTCCCAGCTCTGCTCTGCTGTGCGAAAGCCAATAGAGCAATTAGGAGAGACTTGGAGGACCAGCCAGAGCTCATCCAACTGGTGGGGAGGTTATTGGATTCCCTGAAGCAGAGAACAGAAAAGGAAATCCTCAAAGATACAATGGATCTGCATTCTCCTGCGTGACTGCTCCCTGGGAACTGAGACCTGCCATCTGTGGTCCTTAGTAATTTCACTTAAAACATAAAGAATTCCTCAGGCACCTAGGAGGAAAATATCAGGTTGTGTATAGGAAGATGCACTGCCAGTCGGCAGCACAGCCCAGAGTTATGTCAAGTGCTGAGGGTGGGGAGATATGATCCAGAAGGCTCATTCCAGCTAAGGTGTCTGATGAATACAGAGGGCAGGAAAGCTCTCAGGACATGGGGGCTGTAAGAGATGTGGGAAACAGTTGGAGTGAGATCAAGCCACCCATGAGATATCAAGCCACCCATGAGATGAGCAGGGTCAGGAAGCAGCAGGCACAGTGCTTATAGAGAGCAGATAGTATATCTCCGGAGCTTGTACTTCTAGGCTTATGTGGCATCAAAACCTTCCAGTAAAACTACTATAACAAAGACAGCTTGTCCTGTGTAGTAGAGTCAACTGTTCCTGTTCAAAACAGAAAATAGAGATAAAAAGACTTAAAGAATCCAACCTCTCCTGTTTTTTTACCTTGTTTTTCTTTAATTAGAAATTTTCATGAAGTATTTTCTAGAAGTTCAGTAAGTCCTTCAGTTTCATTTCTTTTAATTTGGTTATATTCAACAAAATTAAATTGAATACTTGTATTATAAGTAACTTGTATGATATTCATTGTAAAAATTGTCTTTATGAAGCCATTCATATACATGTGTCCAGGGATGTCTATATGGACATAGCAGTAATAGCACCTAAAATTCCTTGGTGTTTCCTATGAGCTAGGCACTATTCTAAACTCTTATCACATATTTACTTATTTAGTCTTCCCAGAGCTTTGAGGTAGGGGACTATTCTTCCCATTTAACAAGTAGAGAACACTGAGGCTAGAGCTTAGGTTACTTGTCCCAGATAACAGAGTCAGTTGTGGAGCCAGAATTTGAATCTAGGCTGTTGGTCTCCTTCCTCCAGGGTTTCCTGCTGCCCCTGAACCTTATGTGTCTGAAAAACCTCTTCTGGGTGTCATGGTTTTTTCTTCTTTGTACTTAATTTTCTTTAAAGCCTATTTTTATGAAACCAGTGAAGTGATGATTTTTGAAAAGGAAGCTGGACAGAAACAGCCTGAAGGATTTGGCAGTCATTTAGTATGTGCCAAGGTGCCCAAGGGCAGGATTAGATGACCTGCTTTCTTTCCCTCTTTTCTGTGATTTCTGCTGCTCTGAGTGGTTGATTGGTTCTCAGTGGTCTCAGAGAAATGAGTTCCTAGAACTGTTGGGTAAGGAAGTCTCCACCCTCAAGAAATGGGCAACTGGGGTCTGATTGCTGTCTTTCCAAAAGACATGTGAAAGTTTCTAAACCTTTGCCTGTTTTTTTTGTTTTGTTTTGTTTTTAATCTCTTACCTCATGACTCTTCTTGTTCAGTAATTTTAATTCTCCAGGGCTGTGCAGAGTGAGAGGTAATGGAAAGGCTGTCTCCCCTAGAGAGTGGCCTCTGTGAAAGCAGAGGCCTAAGCAGTACATTGCACATTGCATTGTTGGTTTGTTTCATTTTAGGAGCCTCAAGGTCTACTCAGAGAAAAATGAAAGGTGGCAAAATCAGTCCTACGCACTTGTACGCAAGCCAGAGTGGTTGGTTGTGCGGGAACCTTGTGCCCAATGGCGGTCTGCCAGGACCATCTCCATCAGCTGGGGTGCAGTGTGTTCAGGTCCAGTTACTGCAGGTAAGAGCCATCGAGTGGGGAGGAGATAGGCTATAAGAAGTAGTTGGGCAAGAGCTGTGGGCAAGGCCTCAGGATTTAAGTTTCCGGGTCCTCCTTCCTCTCAGTGTACGGACCTTCCCCAACCCTGCTTCTAAATCCTCCCAAGTCCTGTTTTATATCCTAAATGATCTCTCCATAACCTCAGCTTCTCCCTTTTTCCCATCTGTTGGACTACATTTATCTCAGCTTTTATCTTCATTAGGATTGACACATTGGCGTCAGAACTCTCTCTGTGTTTGATTCCCCCCATACAGTCCCTCTTCCATATCTCGCTGAGAGTCGGTGAAGTATAGCCAGGCGCTCACTCTTGCATAAGCCCCCCTGTAGCTGTCTTCCAGATGCTTAGGCTGGTCAGGCAGGCACTGCACTCCTTTTTCTGGCCATGTGGATGCCTCGTGGTTCTTGGCTCCTCACACTGCCTACTCCACCGCAGACCCTACTTCTCTTTTCATGGCTGGGGTGAAGGGACTTCCTCAGGCAGCATTGGTCACTCCCATCTCTGGAGGCTGCTTGTGGCACACCAGAGAATGTAGCCTTTATATGTTAAAGGTGCTACCTTTTTCCTTTTTCTATTGTCTTCTCTACCAAACTGAGTCCTTCAAGGGCAGAGCCAGCCACCTCTTAGACTGTGGCCAGGGCCCAGTAGTTGCCTGTAGCTGGCAGCCACTCTGTGAATGCTCACTGGATACATTCGCCTCCACAGCTCTGTGTACACCTTTATTTTCAGTCTCATTTTTGAGGAGCCAGAATAGGAAAGTAAGATAAGTTGGGTTTTAGGAGAGAAGAGGTTTAGAAGCTGAGATTACATCTCTCTGACCTGGCCAGATTACATGCCACCTCTTTCCTGAACATCTTCTGTGTCCAAAGAGCACCATGTGACCAGGGAGGCACAGTTAGAGATGTCATAGGACATTTGAGTCTTGAGCTGATCTGGAAGAGAGAGGAGGGTAATCCTGTCCATGGTGTCTCTAGGCCTGGGAGAGACTTATGAAGGAGATGGGACCATGCTGGCTGTGAAGAGTCTGTAGGGTTCAGATGAGTCAGAGAGAGGTAGGAATGGCCTGGGCAGAGCTCAGGGAAGGCCTGGAACACGGGCCTCCTAAATGGCTTTGCTGTTAATAGCAAACCAGAAACTGATGTGAGGATTTTGTGGGAGTGGGCCTTGTCTGCAGAGATAAGCAGGAAAATATGTTCCTTCATTCCAGATTTGGGACCAGGAAAGAGAGGAAAGATTCTCCCAAGATAGAGGCATTGGAAATGGGGGAAGAACAATCCGAGCCTTGATCAAGGCTGGCAGGTTAGAAGTGGAGAAGGTAGGACCTTGGAAGTTTTGAAACAGAGACTGCAAGGAAGCTGATACCACTGGCAGAACAGGAGCTAGCTGGAAAAGCAGTAGTGGCTATTTTTTAAGAGACACCCAATTAAAGATGTCAGCTTTGAGGCAGAGAAACCTGGAGTTTATTTTTTTCTTTCCCTTAACCAACTTGTATAGTCTTGGGCAAATTACTTAAGCACTCAGAGCCTCATTTTTATTGTGTATAAAATGGGAATGATAGTGCTCAGTGCTGGATACAGAAGGTTCCTGAGGTCGTGGAAGGAATGATAGATGCTAATGGTGGCAGTGGCACCAGGAGTTAAGTGATAGGGGCTGTGGATGGCCGTGGGCTGGACAAGGAGATGAAAGACAGGTGAACTGTTAAGCGATGTCCCTTTTCTGAACTGGATGATTAGGGTCATGGTAGCCTCTCCTTGTTGGGAAGATCTGTGATCTCTCTGGTCCCTTTTCAGCTCGACTTAGGGTTGGGGCCAGGGCAGAGGTGAGCATACCTGTGTGGTCTGAGAAGACTGCTGGGGAGCAGTGAGGACACTTGGAGTGAGATGCTAGGAGCTCTTGCCAGAGTTCAGAATAACCCACAGGACAGAAATTGGCGCGTGGACTGAGTGAAGGTTTTTGGGTGTAGGAGAGTGTGAGAGAGTTCCAGGAGAAGGGCCTGGGAGGGAAGAGTAGCCAGACGGTAGGAGGCTCAGGCCCGGCTTAGCCTGATGGCCCTTGGGCTGGGATCAAGGTGAGAGAATGAAGACCAGGAGGGGAGGCAAGCAGCTTCCAGCCCCTGATGCCAGTTACAGCTAGGTCCTCAGGCCTCAAATGGGTCTAGGTGGTACCTCACCTGGAATGTAGTGGGTGGGACTGGTTCTACTGTGTATCACAGTGACAGGACTCCTCAGGCCGAGGTAAGGAGTGCCACCATGCTCGATTAATAAAACGTTTGCTGTTGCCTCCCCAGGATGACCCTTCAGGTGAAGGAGTCTTGCCGTTGGTGCTCAGCCCGCAGCCTTCCACCTTTCATCCCCTTTTTGCCATCGGTTTGCCTGTCTATGTCCTCCAGGTCTGATGCCTTACAACTCTTTGGGTTTATTAGTTAGACTATCATGAAGCTTCCAGCTTCTGAGGCTGGTCACTGAGGTAGGCCTTGGGTGGAGACTCATTGGGTTGGTTGCCAGGACGTTTGCCACTTCCTAGAAAAGGTGGGTAAATGGCCATAAAATAAAAGGCTAAGAACAAAGCTCAGATTTGCTCGTCATTGTAGCTCCCACTTACAAATAAGGTGAAATACATTCTCAAAATATTTTGCATATAGAAATTCTAGTCATTTTCCCCTATGGAAAGTAAGCTGGCTAGTTTTTAACCTGTAAGAAAATAGACCCAGACCAATTAAATAGTTTGCTTAAATAAGTAGTTAAGCTAAGTATAGGTGGCTGTGGATAATTCAGATTTGGATATAAAATCATGAAAGTAACTTATCAAATTTCTAACAGACTTAAATATATATTTTAAAAATCCATTCAAACAGTAATTTCGGTTTTCTTGAATTCACATTGGGCTGTTAACTGTTTTCCTTAATGTCAAAAATAAATATTGAATAAAACTCAAGTATGAGGGGGATGGGGTGGGAGTGGGGACTCTCAGACTGCTGGAGTAGGGGTAGGTCGGAGGGCAGTTTGGTACCATGTATCCAGAAAAACCTCAATAGTGTCTATTGCATTCTGGCATTGCCGCTCATGAGATTGCTCCTAAAGAAATGAGGTAGGATGTAAATAGCCAAAAGCTGGCCATTGAAGCCTCAAATCTAACGACGTAGGAATGTTTCTCTACTGGAAGGAAGTAGATTAGATGAGTGATGGTGCAGCCTTGTTCCTTCTGGAGGCCTGGTCAGCCGCTGATGATGCAGATGGACACCTAGTAACTGAGAAAGGTGCTTTCCACATACGAAGTGAGAGAAAAAGGGTTACAGGGTAAACAAGGACACTCGTCTTATGGTATTGAGTTTATTTTTCCTTGTTTTTGTTTATATTTCTTCAAGGAACGTATGTTCAAAATAAAGGGAAAACAAGTTGTAGTTGAGAAAAGTCAGAAGCATCCTACTGGCTGGCCCCTAAGGTTATGCTGCCGGTTGGTGAGCAGCTGCAAGGCTGCCTTATGTGAAGTGGTCCTGTACTGCCTCAGCCCTCTACTCTGCCCCCCTCATTGCTCTGCTTGGTTTTGCAGGAGGTGCTTCCTGCAGCTGGAGGGGCTGCTGGACCCGAGGACACGCAGTGCACGGGCAACACTATCAACCTGCGGGACCTGCAGTGAAAGCAGCCCTCTGCCTGGGGGACCCAAGGGCGACGCCTCTAGTTTGTGTCCCCAACAAGACTCTGTTACATGGTCTTGCAGGCTTGGGTGAGACCCCACTTGGTTTCTGCTCTGAAGGCCAGCCTAGTTCTTTAAGAGACTTTTGGGTACATTTATTGAAATGTTTCTTTTAATATTCTATCAGGAACCAGTTTGGGGCTGTACTATTTGAAACTGCCTTTTCTGAGCAAAGGGCTTCAGTGAGACAAGATTGCCTTCTGAGCAAAGCACACGCCTCTTCCATACTTGCCTTTGTCCCATTTGATCTGAGCCATGGAGCACTTGTTGCATTAAAAAAAAAAAACAGACTTGTACAGGAAATTGGGTGCTAGGTCTCCTAGTCAAGTACAACTTTATCTGTAATAAAACCAGCTTTGGTGTTTCAGCATTTGCCCTGAGAAAGATCTAAAAATCCCGTTTTCCTTTTCTGTGAGCTGTGTAACATGCCGTTTCCCAAGCCCTTGGGTGGTATTCGTAGTCAGATTGATTTTGTCACATTGTAGGGGAAAAGTGGGCCTTTTGTCACAGGAAGCCAAATTCTGATCCATGTTCTGGCAGACCAGGCAGGCAACTGGTATGAAGGGGAAATACTGGGGGTGAAGCAGCCACATGGAGGGTCCTGTTAACAAGCCCTCTGGGTAGACCAGATTTCAAGTTCATAGTTTGGGGATGGTAGAGTTAAAACTTTCAAAATAATTTTTCTAAATTCTGTATTTGGGTATTAACATTTAATAGTAATTTGGTTTATAAAGTAATGTTCTGAATACTATAAATTATGGGCAGGACTATGATGATGGCATGTATATGTTTTTGTTGATGTTGAAAATGTGCATATCATATGTTACAGTCTATTTTTACAGAGTAAGGTCTTGCAAAAGGAGAAAAGTGGATAACCTTGCACATATTTATTTGTTCATTAGCAGACTGGACAGTCTTAGAAATGCTGTGTTTGCCTTGTGCTTTTTGAAGTGTTTGTTTATTCAGATGTTATTTTGATTTTCAGGATTGGAATCATTTAAACTACCTGTTCTATGTTTCTTCGTTTCTTGAGTTTTTGGACTTGAGCTTCTAGGAGTAACCCAAGCATTTGATTGTGATTCCTCTCAATGTCCGATTCTGAGTTGTCATCTACTCAGAGTGGCCAGAAGGAATTAGGGCCCCATTTAGAAATAGTTCTTACAGAACCTGCATTACAGACTAAAGTCCTGTGCCCACCTGGCACCTCAACCACCAGGTTCTCCAGAAGCCCCGTCCCTCTACAAGGAGCCAGGCCTGTCTGCCACTGTGGGCTTGGAAGCTGGGTGGCCTAGTGGCCACACTGCACTGGCTACCTGAAAGAGGACGTGTCACTGGATCTTTCTCCTGCGCGTTCCCCAGTGAATATCCACCACAAAATGATTGGTACTGGCTGTCAATTTTCTGGGCACTGAGGTTCCCTGTGGGTAATGGACCCAACTCCTAGTGCAAACGAATAAAAGTTTTTGTATAGTTACGCACTGAAGGTTTTACTTGGCTTAATTTAAGGAACTGTGTGTATAAGTGGTGAAGTCATTTTCTCCTTCAGTCAGTAGTAATAACCCTTCCATCTGCCCAGCTTGCTGATTACTTTTCTTATCTTTGCATTGGGGCTAGCCCCACACTGTGCCCCAGAGTGGAATTGACTTTTGTCTCAAGGCAGTCCTTTTAGATGGCAGCCAAGACGGACTCCTTCCCTCAAGCATTTGCTTAGGGTTAAATGATTAAAGAGGGTGCTTGCATTTGGAAACAGGGTCTACCTCCTTAAACAGGCCTTGGACACCAAAGAGTCAGGGAGTTTATTTCTCATGAGTAAGGAAACATACAGCAGGAGACCATGAGGGGTACAGCGATGGCTACATCCAGGCCCTGACGTAGCCTTGTCTGCTTCCTGCTGCACCTCTTTCCTGTAAAGTTAGCCAGACCAGTGGCTGCAGTTAGGTGAAGAAGAACAACTGCTCCTCCTTGTCTTTGTCTAGCAGCTCATACTCAGGCTCCTCCTTGGTTTTCATGGCCGGGGGCCGGGAGCGACACACCAACCTTCTGCCTTTCTGCAGAGGAAGTGGACTCAGTGAGCCTCTGCCTGTGGCCTCAGTGCACCAGTGGTGCCACTTAGATGCTGAGAGGTCATACTTGTACCCCCAGCATGCCAGGAGGCTCGGGAGCTGGGGCTGTGGGGCCCTATGGACTGTCTCAGCCTCTGGGCACTCTTGGTCAACCACAGACTGAGGGCTGAAGTTGTTGAGCTGTCTCAGGAATGAGTCTTTCCAGCACAAAAGCCTGTGCCCTGGGGTGCCAGCCTTTAGATGTGTGAGGGGTGGTGGCAGGGTAAACACTTGGAAACACAGATGGGAAATACCGGGCTAAACAGGGAACCCATCTCTTGCTGTGAGGATTACGGGGCAGGGAGACCCTGCAGTATCTGCCATTCCTTATGGGACAGTGTGGAGAGTGCTGATCTGTTCCAGGGAGAGTCCGTTGGCCTCATTTGTCCACTGGGGACCATGTTCAGGCTTAGGCTTGCATTAGAGACCACACTTACTGTTGCCAAGGAAGTGTGGAGGCAAGTGGCTGCTCCTGCCCATTTGCTGTGGAGTAGAGGTCTTGGGACATAGCAGTCAGGGGGACAACTAGTGACAGATGATGAGCTTGGCCTGGGGTACAGGTTATGTGGTGGGATCCTGGGGATGCCAAGCTGTTCTCTGAGCTTGGGGTCTGCACCTGGGCAGGGCTAGGTGGGAGGGCATGGCCAGGCCAGTCACTAAGTGTGTGTAGGAGAGCTGGCAGCCCAAGGGGGAGGACTATCAGAGGAAGAGGAGAATAGCTCTGAGGGGCAGCAGGGTTGATGGGCCCAGGAATGGGACACCGTGCTCTACCCTGGCCTTGCTCTCTTGGTCCCAGAACTTCCACAATAGCATCTGCAAAGGGGGCCAGACCCTATGCGCCTGTCAGTCCTGCTGTGCCTGGTCGTCGGACCCTTCCCCAACTGTGGCTCTCCAGGACCACCCCACTCACCTTTTTCTTGATTTCAGCCTGGGCCCGGGCTTGAGCTCGTTGCAGACGCTCTT